CATCCAAGAATCCATCTTAACCTTCCTAACACAGCACCGCTCCTAGGCCTTCCGTGCTACATCTGTATGGGTCTTGAACGGTTTATTCCCACTCCTAGCTGCTTCGATATCTGGTTGAGCAAAGCATCCTTCGCAGCAGGTGTCCACCCAAATGGTTTCTTTTCAGACATTTCATGCAACGGTGCTGCGACTTTCGAGAAACCTAGCACAAACTTGCGATAATATGAGCACATGCCCAGGAATGAGCGGAGATCTGCACGTGTCCGTGGAAGTGGGTACCGATTAATGGCTTCTACTTTTGCCGGATCCATATGCAGTCCTTCGCCGTCGATTACATGTCCGAGAAAATCCACTCTATCCTTGATCAGCATACACTCCTCTCGGGTTCAATCTTAGTCCTGCTCCTCTTAGAGCTGAGAACACTTCTTCCATTACTTTCAGGTGTCGTTCGACCGAATCTGTTGCTACCATTATGTCGTCCAGATAGCAACACCTCATCGCCAAGTAATGGACCGAGTACTATGTGCATGAGACGTTGGAACACTGCTGGTGATGATGTTAATCCGAATGGCAACACTCGAAATTGGTACAATCCTTCCGTTGTGGTGAACGCGGACTTCTCCTTGGCATCTTGCGAAAGGCTTATCTGCCAATAAACCAGATGACAGATCTAGAGGTAGAGAAACTTCTTTTGCCTTTAAACTCTGCAAGATCGAATCCATTGTCGGGAGCGGGTAACTGTCAGTCTTCGTTACCTGGTTCACCTTCCGGTAGTCGACACATAGCCTGGGGGTACCGTCTTTCTTCTGGATCAGAACAATAGGTGATGCCTAACTCGAGCTGCTTGGTTCAATCACCTTCCTTTGTTGCAGGTCTTGAGTATCTGACGCAGTTCCACCCTCGTTCCTAGCGGTATCGGGCGTGCCTTTTGCTTAATCGGCTTTGCATCACCAGTTTCGATTGATTCAACAAGAGATGTTTGGGTCAGTTCTTGTTCTGTGACTGCGAATATATCGTTGTATCTCCTGACAAGGTTATCCATACCTTCTCATGCTTCCCACATGTATTATAGTTCAGCAGTCGCAGCAGTTTGCTTTGTCGGTCTTCGGTCCCTAACCGTGCATTCGAATATCACCGTGACACTTCACAGGCTCTGCATCGACTATCATCGTCGGCTCGTATATGCCCACCTCCTCCCCTTTTCGAAAAAGTTTTGCTCCTGCAAAATCGTTAGTTACGGGGACCGTTATGGAGTGGTCAGCCTTCTGAAGAACGACATCCGGTACCAGACTGCTTTTCGAATACCTTGTTTTGTTCCGTTGGAACATCGTAAAGGAAGCAGCGTTCCACCTGGTCGAAGGTATGTTCGTTTGGTCACCACCGCTTGTAGTCGGTGACCTTCTCCCTTCTACACGCGTTTCGCCTTTCGGCTCATCTGCCGTGACAGTAGGTCGGACATCCTCGAGGTGTTGCTCCCGGGAATGACTATCATCGTTCGTAATAAGGCTGACTCCTCGTAGGGGTGCAAAGCGTTGGTTCCTAAAACTAACGTATCGTCTCCTCCAGCCTTTACGAATAATGCAACACGGCGTTTCTCGCCTCTCTCGAGTTCTATTGTCAACCTTACTGCTCCCTCGAACTGCATTTTGTTGCCTGAGGCATCGTAGATTGGCGCTTGGCTCGGTAATGGGAACTCTTCAACGTCCTCATCGAAGTTGAAACCAGACGTGCGACCTGCTCGCAGCACTTCGAGCGGTATTATGCTTATCTGGGATCCAGTGTCTAAGAGCGCTTTTCGTGACAGCCCAAGAAGCTTCACTGTTTTGGTCATTCGCTCTCCTACTAGACCTTTGCATGTCGATGACGTTTCTTCCATTGTACTTAGCCGTTTGTGCGCGGATGCGGTGAAAACACTTGGCGCGTTTGGGAGGGTTCCGCCAGTTTTCTCTGTGCTCGCTGCGGCTTTAGCAGCTACAGTTTTCTTGCAGTCCCTCGAATGTCCACACTCGTTGCATTTGTAACATTTCGGTAGCTTCTTATGAGAGGGCGGGCGCTTGGTTGTCCTTGACTTGGGTTGCCAACGGCGCCAGTGCAGAATACTGTTTTTGCCTAGCCTGTGTACGGTTCTTTTCTGCAGGTCTGCGTTCCTCTGGAAGAGAACGTTGCAGCTTTGAGCATTCAGAGTCCTCTTAGTAGCTGTCGCGAGTGCTCTGCTGCGTTCGCACCTTTGCGCCATGCTTTTGACCATTTCGTATGCACATTCTTTTGGCGCTAATTCCATTGCCGTGTACAGCTGAAGATATTCTGGCCAATCGGATAGCTGCGCAACCAGTTCTGATGCTCTTGTGCGCGAAGCTCCTTTTCGGAGGCTCCAGGATAGGCTCTTTGCGTGATCTTCTCTAATTCAAGGCAGTAGCTTGTCACGTTTCCTTCCATGCGTACCGTCTTCAGGTTCATGTAGGCATTTAACTGTGCGGAAGATTCGTTTTCCTTGAATTTATTGCACAAAGCCTCGACTATAGCTTTAAATCCTGCTTGTTTCACAGATTTGGGCAAAGCATCCGCCACGGACCGAGGAAAACCATCCAATGTTGAAAATAACAGGTGCACGAAGCATGTCATTATCGAGTCCTAACCCTCGGTGCTTTAATTTAAATCGAGCGAGAAAGCCCTCGAAATCTCTCCCGTTCAGGGTCACTATACACACTCGCGTCGGGTAGGGTCAGCGCAGCGAACATGCGAGCCATTTCAACCCCTTTTGAAGAACCCAACGGAAAGTTAGTACACTCACCTTGGTGCCCTGCTGTCGGGATTGTCCAAGGGGATTCCTTCTGCGTCTGCTGCTGCTTGTTCGTCTTTTCGAGCTGAAAATATTGTTTAGACCGGTGGGCGGCACTTTGCCATCGCCTCGAGACGAACTACGTGGATCACGCTGCTTACCTTGCGCGGCTGCGATAGGATCGAATGTAGTGTGACAGTCCACGTTTCCGAACTCAAACCGGTTAAGTTGTTGCTTGACGAAGCTGTGCTCTGCTGTGGAATCTGCACTGATTTATCTGAAACAAGTGGTCTCACTGCTTTTTCTATCATATTTTTCCTCGAGACTGTTTCTTCAAGCTCTGACACCTTATCTGCCATTTGCATTGTATCCACACCTAGCAGTAGCGCTAATTCGCGCATACAGCTGTTGTCGTGTTTCACTTGTGCCATGCCAGTATTTCTGTCACCGACTCAAGTATCAACTGATCTATCAGCGAGTCCACTGAATGTAGAGCTCGCTCACAAAAGTCAATTTTCGAAGCTCTCCTTCGAGAGTCTTCAAGTCATGCTCGAAAAGAGTACACTCAAAGTTTTCTCAAATCCCTGCCTCTTTTCCAGAGGAGAATAATCTTTTAAGCAGCTTACTATGGTTTTGGGTTTGTCTCGGAAGATTTGAATTTTATCTAACATCGTATCACAAGACACCCGTACCTGAAGAGCATTTTTACATGCTAGATCCTTAACCGTGCCGACGAGGGTATCTAGAGATGCTTTCATTGAAGCAATCTGATCGAACCGGGTTGGTTCCGACGCTCAATATCTGTGTCCTCCATGGGCATGTCGTGATCACTCATATCTGTTCTGAAATGTTGTGGTTAGTGTAGCGCCGAAATAAGATCTGCTTCCTTTCAACGCGCAGACAAAATTGCGAAATGTCAGAACCACAACACAGTGGTGAAGACTATAGCTAGAAATCAATGGGATCGGAGCTCGAGTCTATATTGCCAACTGTACAGACGAGCGTTACGAAATCCTATTGGCACTCCTGTACGAGGCTGGCTATAGTCAATCGATATGGTCTTCGATCGATACCGT